GCAAAAGCCCTAAGCCCTTGACATCTTGCCCTACGTATACAGCGTTGAATTTCTAAGCCCTCTGCCCAAAACCCTACACCGTAGACCCTGGGCCCTACACTAAGCACTAAGCCTCAAGGACTAGCGCCGAGGCCCTTTGGCGCAAGCCCGACGGCGTAAACCTGAGCCGCGACGCCTGAAGCCCGAGGCAGTAGGGCCAAGTCCCTGAAGCCCAAGCCACGCCCAGGGCCCCAAGCCGCTGAACCCTGGACGCCGCGCCTCAACCCCCAGACCCTAGACCCTGGGCCCACGGCTCGGAGCCTTCGGACCCATGGCCTGGGTCCATGGGCCAAGGCCCAAATTCCTTGGCCGTGGCATCGATGCCTTACGCCAGAGGCTGCAGGCCTGGGGTTCTGGGGCCCAAGCCAAACCTGAGACCCCTGGCCGCCCTGGCCCCTGGGCCCTAGGCGCCGCGCCCCATACCCTAGCCTATGCCCTATGCCCGAAATCCACGCCCCAATGTAAGGCGCGCGGCGCAGGACCGGGGCCCTGCCGCACGCCGCGGGAATCACACTCCCCCGCGGGACCCCGCCCCCCAAAAAGGCAACCGCGAAAGGCCCCCCGCCGGCGGGGCTTTGACATTCCGCGGCGAAATCCGGAGACGCCCCGGGGACCAGTAAAGTTTACCACCGCTGTTCAAAATGAAGTTTTAAAAAGTTCAAGAACAATTCAAACAAGTTCAAAAACAAGTTCAAAAACAAGTTCAAACAAAATAATAAAACAAAACAAAATTCAAAACAAATGCAAATTAGCCTGGCGAAGGACCCAACCATATGCAGTTGTGAATGCCGCAATTGTGCTGGGTGGTGGCGGACGCATGCGGGCGGTGCCACTGGGACCTTCGGTGGAGCTCCGGGGCCACGAAGCGCTGTACTGGGTGGGCGAGACGCGGTCAGCAAGGGCTGTGCTGCGTGGTGGCGGACGCATGCGAGCGGTGCCACTGGGACCTCTCGGTGGAGCTCCCTATGGGGCCACGAAATGCTGTACTGGGTGGGTGAAACGCAGGCAGGGAGCAAGGGCTGCGCAGGGTGGTGGCGGACGCATGCGGGCGGTGCCGCTGGGACCTTTGGTTGAGCTCCCTATAGGGCTACGAAGCGCTTTTCTGGGTGAAGCGCAGGGAACAAGGGCTGTGCTGGGTGGTGGCGGACGCAAGCGGGCAGTGCCACTAGGACCTTTGGTGGAGCCCCCTATGGGGCCACGAAACGTGCGAGGGGTGTGCCAGAATGGGGTGTGGAACCGCATGTCAGCGCAGCCACTGGGGCCTTCGGTGGAGCTCCCTATGGAGCCACGAAGCGTGTGAGGGGTGTGCCGACATGGAGGGGTGGAACCGCATGCGAGCGCAGCCACTGCGGCGTTCGGTGGAGCTCCCTATGGGGCCACGGGACGTGTGAAGGGCGTGCCGAAAAAAGGGGCGGAACCGCATGCGAGCGCAGCCACTGGGGCCTTCGGTGGAGCTCTCTATGGGGCCACGAACCGTGTGAGGGGTGTGCCGAAATGGGGGGGGGAACCACATGCGAGCGCAGCCACTGGGGCGTTCGGTGGAGCTCCCCATGGAGCCACCCACGAAGCGTGTGAGGGGTGTGCCGAAATGGGGGGTGGAACCGCATGCGAGCGCAGCCACTGGGCGTTCGGTGGAGCTCCCTATGGGGCCACGAAACGTGTGAGGGGTGTGCCAGAATGGGGGGTGGAACCGCATGCGGGCGCAGCCACTGGGGCCTTCGGTGGAGCTCCCTATGGGGCCACGAAACGTGTGAGGGGTGTGCCAGAATGGGGGGTGGAACCGCATGCGGGCGCAGCCACTGGGGCCTTCGGTGGAGCTCCCTATGGGGCCACGAAACGTGTGAGGGGTGTGCCAGAATGGGTGTGGGAGGGGGAGGAGGGGGGAGGAAGGGGAGGAGGAGGAAGGAGGAGGAAGGAACGCGGGGCGACGTCTCTTCAAAACGAGGACCCAACACCACAGGATGGTTTGGAAAAAACCAAAGATCGATCAACATTCAAAATTCGGAAAAAGATACAAACGTTCAAAAAAGTTCAAAATTCAAAATAAAAAATAAAAAAGGTCAAACAAAATTCAAAACAGTTCAAACAAGTTTCACAAAGAAAGAAACACTACATATTAAAGAAACAACGGAGTTCCCCAAAAAACAAAAACATCAAACAAATCAGCAAAGTTTGCCGCTTCCGGGAAGGCCCCAAAAACAGCTAGGGCAGACTCGCCGTACCCAGGGGGTTCTCCCGGGGCGCTCACATTGCCCGGGGCGTCCCCGGGCGCCAGGGTCCCTGGCGGCGCCTCGCAGGGCGCCTTCCGAAATTTCAATGTACGTTCCAATGTCTGAGGTCGAGGTTCTAGGGTCCCTAGGGTTTAGAGTCTCGGGTCTAGGGCCTAGGGTCCTATGGCCTGGGATCTAGGGTATATGGTCTAGGGTCTAGGGCATCGGGTCTAAGGTCTAGAAGGTCTCGGGTCCAGGGTCTAAGGCTTTAGGGCCTGGGGCCTCGAATCTCAGTTCAAAGGTCTGGGATCGCGGGCATCGAGTCTAGGGTCGATGGGCCTCGGGACTAGGGTCGACGGGAAGCGCGTGCGAGGAACGAGGACCGTGGACCGTTTTTCTCTTAAGGAAAAAACTAAGACATATGTATATATATATAGAGAGAGGTATACATATGTATATATATATATATACATACATACATGGGGCTCCAGGCTGCAACTCGGACGGGCGTTGGCGGATGACGGGAAGCGTCTTCGAGGTGCGAGAAGACGAGCTGGACGTTTTCGCTGAATCCGCCTTGCATCTGTAAGAAATCTCTAAGTTTTGGGTGGCGCGCTGCACGGCGCGGCACGCCCGCTGGGGCCTTGGGTGGAGGTCCATATGGGGCCACGAAACGCGTGGGATCTGCGATGTAACAAAATGCATCGAATGTGTTACCATTCCATTCAAAAAATATTCAATGATTTTCTAATATGAACAACAATGACATGGTATCAGTTGAATATGTTAACATGATACAAATAAGCTGAGTTTCTTCATCGTTAAGCAAAACATGCAAGACTACATACAATTATATTCGCTTGTGTCATATGGATGTATATAATTGTGTTACCATTCCATTGCTTATAAAGAAGACAAATAAAAACATGAAACATACAAATTAAAAACATGAACTGTCACGGAACTTAAACGGAACTTTTGTGGAACTTCTCGGGACAATCACCAGGGGGGGCCTTTGCCTTGGAGCAGCATTGCAATACTAGTACTAGTACTACTAGTACTACTAGTACTACTAGTACTACTAGTACTACTAGTACTACTAGTACTACTAGTACTACTACTACTACTACTACTACTACTACTACTACTACTACTACTACTACTACTACTACTACTACTACTACTACTACTACTACTGCTACTACTACTACTACTACTACTACTACTACTACTACTACTACTACTACTACTACTACTACTACTACTACTACTACTACTACTACTACGACTACTACGACTACTACGACTACTACTGCTGCTGCTGCTGCTGCTGCTGCTGGACCTTGGTGACAAACGGGTTTGCGTTCGCATTGTGCTAAATGTAAAGCTCTTTTGGGGCTGGTGTTGGGCCCTCCTGGGCCGTCTTGGGCGCCTCTATGGCCCTTGGAGCCCTCTTGGGGGCGTCGTGGGGCGGTCCTAGGGGTCTCTTGGGACGCCGTGGAGCGCTGGAAGGTCGAAAAGCCGAGAACCCCTCAAAACACTCAAAAACTGCAGGGCAATACATTGTGTTTTCCTGACGTCTTGGGCGCCTCAAGGGCCGTCTTTGAGCCCCTATCGGGCCGTCTTTGGGCGCTGTTGGGGGCCTCTTGGCCCGTCTTGGGGGTCTTTGGGGACGTCGTGCAGCGCCAGAAGCTGGAAACATCGAGAACCACTAAACAACTGGAACACACATGGAAAATCAATGGTGTTTGTCTCCTGGGGGCATCTGAAAAGAGAGCTCGTCGAGTCCTCTTGGGCCGTCTGGGGGCATCTTGGGACGGCAGGCTCGACGTCTTGAAGCACTCTCGTGCCGTCTTGGGCCTCTCTTGGGGCGGTCTTGGGACCTTCGTGAGCCGTCTTGTGGACCTCTTAGGCGCCTCTTGGGCCATCCTGGCGCGGTTTTGGGGGCATCTTGGGACGTCGTGGAGCGGCGGAAGCTCGAACGTCGAGAACCCCCAAACATTACAAAACTGAAGGATCATCGGAAGGGTCTTTGCCTCTTGAAGCCCTGCATGCAGGGACGAGTTCTCTTAGGCCGTCTTGAAACTATCTGCGGGACGCCTGGAAGCCTTATGGTGTGGTGTCTGCATGATGCCACTTCATGCGGGCTGGGCGGCTTTGTGGCCGCTGGAGTGGGTGCTCAGGGAGCCTGGCTGGCGCCCCTATGGCAACCAATGGCGAATGGGAGAAGGCCCCCGACCCTGTACCCCGACAGCTAGCTGTTGTACATATACATGTATAACTCACCATGAACAGATTGCAACAAATGGTGAGACTGCACATCGAGGTTGGAAGAACTTACTGTTTGGGGCCCTCGCTGGCTACATAGCACTGTTAGGAGGAAAGGCAAGATGAGGACAACATCCATGTGGGTCACATCGGAAATCTCCGAGAACCAACGGGTCTAGAGATGTATCGGGCGCTGGCTCTGGAAAGCTCCGAGAGCGTTCGAAACGCTTCCAGCGGTTCCAAAGCGCCCCAAAACGATTAATCATCATCCCAATCGGGTGTTGACGGAGGAAGCCCCTGGCGAAACATATCCCTGGCTCCTGGGGCCTGAGGCCTGCTTGAGCCTCTTGCGCCCTTTTGGGTTTCGTCTGAGACATATTGGGGCATCCAAGATATCCCTTACAGCACCAGGGACAGGATCGTTTTTAACAAATCAGCCAGCCTGGGCCAGCCTAGACCTGCCTGATCTCCTCCCCCCCTGGCCTTGATGCTGGCCGCCAGCGCTGCCACGGCGGCCGCGGCGGCGGCCGCCGCCGCGGCGGCCTCAGCCAACTCGTCACGGCACGTCGCGCCAGCGTCTACGTCGCCGGCCGCAACAGCCGCGGCAAGATCATCGGGCGGCTCGTGGCTGCAGCTCGCGCCAACGTCTACGTCGCCGGCCGCCTCCGCCGCGGCAGTGTCAGCCAGTTCGTCGCGGCTCGCCGCGCTGGCGTCAGCGGCCTCGGCGGCGGCGCCCGGCTGCTCTTGGCCCCGCGTCTCGCCAGCGTCGGCGGCGTTGTCGCCCGCCGGCGTGGCGGCCTCGGGCAGCTCGCCGCTCTCGTAGAGCGCGGCGGCTGGCTGGGGTGGCTCGCCGCGGGCCGCTTCCGCAGCCGCCTCCGGCGGCGCGCGGTCGGCGGGCGCAGGCTCGCCGCAAGCGCCGAAAGCGGCCACCTTGCAGCGGGGCGTCGGCGTCGACGTCGACGTCGACGTCGGCGTGGTCGGCCTGGTCGGCGTGGTCGGCGTCGTGGGCGTCGTGGGCGTCGTCGTCGTCGTCGTTGTCGTCGTCGTTGACGTCGCCGTCGTCGTTGGCGGCGTCAGCGTCGGCGTCGGCGTCGGCGTGGCGTCGGCGTCGGCGACTGCGTCGCTGTCGGCGTCGGCGTCGGCGCAGTCTTCGTCGTCGTCGTCGTCGTCATCGTCGTCGTCGTCGTCGGGGGGGGAATGGCCGAGCCGTTAGCCCTCCCGAAAATCGCGCCGTGGTCACAGTCGAATCATTCGAAGGATTCTCCTGCTTCCTCCTCCTCCCTGGCCCCGTTCCTCGTCTTAGCGCTTAAGGCAAGTTAGGAGCGGCCGCGGCCAAGCGGGGAAGCTACCAGCCGATGTAGCGATGGCCACAAGAGACACAATGGCCACACGGTTTCTACTCCTCCCCCCCTCCTTCTCCTCCTCCTAACAAAGATTTCCTTGTCTGGCTCTTTGGCGTTGTTCGAGAAACTGTCCGTTTTGTTTGTGGAATGGGCTGGAAATACTCTCAGAAATGAAACGGGACGGCATTAGAAGGTGATGACCAACAATGACAAAGAGATGAAAAAAGAGGAGCACGACGACGAGAACGAATACCAACGAGACCCAACGAGAACGACGACCCAGCGAGATGCAGGAGCCGGGACCGAAAGCAGACGTCACCAGCTACACCGCCGGGATCAGCGCTGGGCGCGAGAAAAGCGGCCAGTGGCAGCAAGCTGCTCTGGAACCCAACGCTGTCAGCCACAACGCTGGAATCAGCGCCCGTGCGATGAGAGGGCAGCGGCAGCGAACCGAGGAGGAAGATGAGGAGGAGGAGGAGGAGGAGGAGGAGGTCGAGGACGAGGAGGACAAGGAGGAGGAGGAGGAGGAGGAGAAGAAGAGGAGGAGGGATAAGTAAAAACATGAGACGCAAGGTGGGGAGGCGGAAACGGAGGCAACATGCGATTTCAGTTCAGTTTGCTCGCGGAAGTTTTGACACCTGCAGGCGTCTGAAAACTCTCGTGCCCTGGGCGCCTCTTTGCGACGATGTGGAATCCGTTATCGGAAACTCGGTTTGATGGAACGGCGGGGCAAGGGGAGGACGAGGATGAGGACAAACGGAAAAAGCGGAGGAGGAAGAGGACGAGGACGAGCGGGAGGAGGAGGAGGAGGAGGAGGAGGAGGAGGAGCCCACAAAAATCGTTAGATTCCCCCCGGAAAATGGAATTCGTTATTTTCCGGCGGCCTTATTGACGGGCTGGTGCCCCACCAATATATGGAACCATGTGTTTTTTGCCCTGCGGCGCCCGCCAGCTGCGCTCCCATGAAAAACCGTGATTCAGACACTTGGCACTCAGAATCTTCATGCTGGAAGCCCCATCTTGAGGAGGACTGTTGAAGCTCAGGCCCCGCGCGGGCCCTCAGAAAATCCATTCTCTGGCGCGGGGACAATACGAAACGATGGGGAATTCTGTATTGACCACACTGGAACAGTCGCCATGTTGGCCGCGCGCGCCGACCAGGCGCCAGCAGGAGTTCTGCCCGCAGTGCTAGGCAGACGACGTTGATTGAGCAAACTCGCGAATCAGAACGAGGAAAATCCGATCGTAATCCTCGTGGGAAGATGCTTACAAATCTTCCCGCCGCGTGCAGGGTAGCCCACAGTGGGAAGTTCCGCAGGAGAAATACGCCCACGAACATTACCCAGCCCGCCCAACAATAGAGACAAATAATCCCAGGTCACCGCGCGCGCCGACCAGGCGCCAGCAGGAAATCTGCCAGCAGTGCCAGGCAAACGAGTTTGAGCAACATGTAAATTCGAAACGAAGCAATTCCTACTGCAATTTTCACGAGAACATGCTCATAAATCCTCCCGCGTGCAAAGTAACCCACAATGGATTACTCCGCTGGAAAAATAAACGCCAACACATTCCCCAGCCCTTTCACCCATAGAGGGAAACGGATCCCACGTCCCCGCGCGCGCCAACTAGGCGCCAGCAAGAACTCCGCCAGCAGTACTGGGCCAACGAATTTGAGCAAATCCGCGAATCAAAACGAAGCAAACACTATAGCAATACTAATGAGAAAATGTTCGCAATGCCTCCCGCGTGCAGGATCGCCCACCGTGAATTCTCCCGCTGGAAAATAATCCATCAAACATACCCGGCCCGCCCAACAATAGGGGGAAACGGATCCCAAGTCACCGCGCGCGCCGAGAGATCTGCCAGCAGTGCTCGGCAGTCTCGCAAATCAAAACGGAGCACCGCCGCGTTGCAATTCTCATGAGAAGATACCCACAACTCCACCCGCGCGCAGGGTAGCCCACACTGGAGTATTGCGCTGGAGAAATAACCTCCCAAACATTACCCAAACCGCCCAACAATGAAGGGAAACTAATCCCACGTCGACGAGCGTGCCGACCAGGCGCCAACAGGATTTCTGCCAGCAGTGCTAGGCAAACGACTTCGAGCAAACTCGCGACTCAAAACGAATATATTTCCATTGCAATCCTCCCGCTCACAAGGTACCCCGCGATGCATTATTCCGCTAGGGAAACAAGCCCCAAACACTACCCATCCAACCCAACAATCGAGAGATACCAATCCCACGTCGCCGCGCGCGCCGATTAGGAGCGACCTGGAGTTCTGCCAGCTGTGTTCGAGCACTGGGCCTGTCCCCCGCGATATGTATATATGTGTATGTATATGCACACGTGTATATATATATATATATATAGACGCACGGATCTACTGAGTTTAGTCTCTTGGGAACTCGTGCGAGCTTGGACCGCTCTTGGAACGTCTCGTGAGCATCCAGGGCAATTTGGAATCTTAGCGGGCAGCGTTCACGTCCACTCGGGGCGCCTCCAGGGCTTCTCGGGTCCCCCCTCTTCCTCCTTTCTTCTCATTTGTCCTCCTCCCATCCTCCCCCCCCTCTCTCCTCCTTCCTTCTTTGATGATCCCATGTTTCCAGCCTTATCTGGGATTCAATTTCAGGCGAGAGACTGATCAGGTCAGAGGTGTATTTGGCAAAGAAATTTGCGTGCTTGGCTCATGGAGGCCCGCGCATGTTCTCTTCATTTCCTCCTCCTTCCTTCTTTGATTCCCCGCATGTTCCAGCCTGGCTGCGCTCGGCCTCGGCGACTCCGCTGATCCCCGCGTCCTCCCTGCCCAATGCGTCCGCGTCCCCATGGAGCATGCGGGCGCAAGAACCTGGCCCGCCGAGGACGACGAGATGACGCGAGGTTGAGGGCCACAAGCGGTTGCGGAGAGGGAAGGAGAGAGAAGGAGCAGAAACAAGAGGGGCAACATGGAGAAAGAATGGCCGGCGGTGTCGCATGTCGTGGATCGCCGAAGCTCCCGACACCATCCCCGGGACAATTTGTTGTCTCGGGTAATTGTCTCATGGCCCCAGACCCCGAAGGTGGCCCCCTGGATGTCAAAGTCGCGAAGACAATTCCAATCGTACTATTTGTCCGCAGCGCCTGGAGATTGGAGATTAAGGAAAGACGACCAAGACGGTTTGACTATGCTGTCTCATGGGTTCAGGTAAGTTGGGTGAACGTGAAGGGTGGGGAAATTAAATGGGAGGAACACTCCAATTAGCCAGGTCGAACAAGTCAGCGAACCCCGCCTTTGCTCCGATCCATCCCATAGCATGAATTTAGCACTGGAATTGAACCACGTTGCCTAGCGAACTCTAGACGTTCGCGCGTGGTCCCGACTCCGACGGCGTGGCGAAGGGGAGACACAACGCGGGCCGCGCAAGGCCTGGGACGAAAAAATGTCCGATGAGCGCGGCGAGAACGAAACATGCGCGGCGCCGACACAGCTCTGCCACTTTCAGGCACAAAGTGCGCGGCACCTGGGCGAAGGCGACACTTCGCCGGCTTTCGCGCGGGTTAAGCGAACGAAACATGCGCAGCGCCTTCGCGGGAACGCCTTGGGTGATAAGGACAAGTTCATTGGGCGGCAAAGACGACAAGTCGGCTGGCCGAGCGGGGCCAAGGAAAACGTGCGACTGACTTATATACGCCGCAATGAAGCCAGAGCGCCCTATTCGAGCGGAATCTGGGCGGCGCCAAAGCGACAACGATTTGGCGTGCGAGAGATGTGCGGCTCGTCCAAGGAAGCTCAATCCCGCAGAAAAGTGGACGCGGCACCGAGGCGAGAGAGACATGAGACATTCGTCCTTTCGAGCGGGGTAAACTCCCAATCCCATGCCTGCCACGCATCTTGCGACGTCGCCGACAGAACGTCCGTGTTGAGAGCAAACACGTGAACTTACAAACATTATCCTAGCGAAGGACCTAATCATCTGCAGTTGTGAGTACCGTCGTTTCGGGTATCGCCATCGGGAGATCTTCTCATGGGCCATGAAGCATGCGAAGGGTGTGCCGATGTTGGGCGGGGCCGCCATGTGGGCGCTGCCACTGGTGCTTCAGGCGGAACGCACTACGGGGCCGCGACAAGTGCGAGGGGTGCGCCGCAATGGGGCAGGGCCGCCACTGGGGCCTTCGGTGGAGTTCCCTATGGGGGCACGCAACGCTGTACTGGGTCAGGAAAGCGCATGCAAGTACAACCAGTGGGGCCTTCGGTGGAGCTCCCCATGGGGCCACGAAGCGCTCTGCTGGGCGGGGGGGGAACGCATGCGAACACCGCTACTGGGGCCTCCCGTGGAGCCCCCGATGGGGAACACGAAAAGCTGTACTGGGTGGGGGAACGCATGCGAACACCGCCACTGGAGCCTTCGGTGGAGCTCCCTGTATGGCTACGAATCGTTTAACTGGGCGCAGGAACCGCGAGTGCAGCCACTGGGGCCTTCGGTGGAGCCCCTTATGGGGCCACGAAGCGCTGTGCTGCGTGGGGGCCGCATGCGGGCGGTGCCACTGGGGCCTGCGGAGGAGCTCCCTATGTGGCCACGGAGCGCTGTACTGGGTGGGGTGGCGCACCCGGGCGGTGCCACTGGGGCCTTCGGTGGAGCTCTCTCTGGGGCCACAAAACGTTGTATTGGGTGGGGGTGGCGCATGCGGGCGGTGCCACTGGGGCCTTCGGTGCAGCTCCCTCGGACGCCACGACATGTTGTACTGGGTGCGGGCGGCGCACCCGGGCGGTGCCACTGGGGCATTCGGTGGAGTTCCCTATTGGGCCATGAAGCGCTGCACTGGGAGCAGGAACCGCATGCGAGTTCCGCCACTGGGACCTGCGGTGGAGCTCCCCGTGGGACCAGGAAAAGCTGCACTGGGCGCAAGAACCTCATGCGAATTCTGCCTCTGGGGCCTTCGGTGGAGCTCCCTATTGGGCCATGAAGCGCTGCACTGGGGGCAAGAACCGCATGCGAGTTCCGACACTGGGACCTTCGGTGGAGCTCCCGATGGGGCCACGAAACGCTGTACTGGGCGCAAGAACCTCATGCGAGTTCCGCCACTGGGACCTTTGGTGGGACTCCCTATGGGGCCACGAAACGCTGCACTGGGCGCATGAATCGCATGCGAGTTTCGCCACTGGGACCTTCGGTGGAGTTCCCTATGTGGCCACGAATCTGGGCGGACAGCAAAAGCAAGGAGGGGGAGGAGGGAGGAGGGCGAGGAGGAAGGAAGGAGACGCGGGGCGCTCTCTTCAAACCGAGGACCCAACACCACAATATAGTTGGGAACAAGAGAATTGCAAGGGACCCCCAAGATGGTGCTGTCACTGGTCGGCTAGGTGGCATAGTAAGAATTTCAGTCATGCATACATTAATATCTACATGCGTACGTACATGTGTATATGTGCGTATGTGTGCATATATGTGTATATATATATATATATGTGTGTGTGTAAATGTGTATGGGGCGTGTCGAAATTCATGGGGATCTACCGATACAGGCAACGTAGATCCGGGCATATGCAATCGTCGCAATTGAGCACCGCTGCCCTGGCAGCTGTTGTCGGTGCAGCGCCCCTCCCCGTGCCGGAAAGCCTTGCAGCGGATCGTGTTGCTGTCGCTCTCTCTCTGTTTTTTGTCGTTCTCTCTCTCTCTCTCTGTATCTCTCTCTCCCTCTCTCTATGTCTCTCTCTGGTTTCTCGCTGTATATAATTATATACATATACACAGATTGCTCTCTCGGTGTCTGTCTCTCTTTCTTTTTTGTTGTGTGTTGTTTTTCTCTCTCTCTCTCTCTCTTTCTCTCGCCCTTGCTCAGACGCAACAGCGGCAGCAACAGTGACAGTAGCGCTCACAGCAAAGGGGGTCCTCGCAACCAGCTGCGCGCTTATGTACGTATAGTAATGTTGCTGAATGTTGCTGCGTGCTTACGTATACCGCTGAATTCTGCCGATGCGTGATTGTGACTGCAGGCGTTTGCTGCTGCTTGCCGCCGCGCGCTGGCGTCTTTTGTTGCGTGCTGAGATGTGTTGCCGCATGATGGCGCATGCTTCTGTGAATAGTGATGCTGGATGGTGCTGAATGATTATGTTGCTGCAACGTGATGTCGCTTGCTGAAACACGCTGCCGCCTGCCATACGGGTCCCATCGCGCACCAGAGGCATCCAGGAGGTGAGGGAGCCGAGCTGGAGAGCATAGGGCCCCTTGGTGAACCAGCCCCCCCTGCTTACTTTGACGGGCGGCCGAACTTGACTACCGAACTTGACTAGCTAGATACATTAGCAAATGTGAGCCACCGTGTACGATGTATATCAATCCTGTAACGTGATGTACATTGCGACATATAAATGTAAAGCCTTACACTGTGATTGGTTTACGTGTATCCAATGTTTGTGTGAAACAAGCTGCGACAACATGACGAGTATAGCTAAACTGCGTCGGTAGTTCAAAAGTGGTAGTTCAATATGGGCGGCTCTGTCAATCTTTTAAACCATTTCGCAATACTTTAACATAACCTTGTATTAACATACGGACCTCACGCATGCATACACGATAACACACTTCAGCACGACTTGTATATGTCAGCATTGCGTGATGTAGACCTCTTGGAGACTCTTGAGCCTGGTGGGAGCCTCTTGAAGCCTCTCGGGCGTCTCCCGCGTCTTCGGAGCCTTTTGAAAGCTTCTTCGGGGCGTCCTAGGAGCATCTTGGAGCCTCTTGAGGCGGCTCGTGGCGCCTCTTTGATGCACCTTGGGGTCCTCGTGGGGCTCATTACTGCGTCAGCCTCGAAAGCGTATCGGAAACGACAAAGCGGGCATGCTTTCACAAGTTTTGGCCTCTCGAGCCCTTCCTTTGAGCTCTCTCGGGCTGTCTTGGGAACCTCTTGGGCGCTCTGGTGACGGATTCTTGGGCCGTCGGGGAGCCGTCGTGGGCCGGCTTGGAGCACTCTTGCCTGTCTTGGGAGCGTCCTGAGCCGTCATGAGGCCCCCCTGAGCGTTCTGGGAAACTCAAGAGGGCGGTATCGGGCATTTGTCGAAGATGTTCCCGAGGTGGGCGGAGCCCTGGGATGTATATGTACTCATCTGCATGTATATATATATATATATATATACATGTATACAAGTAGGTAAATAGGTAGGTAAGTCGATATGTGTGTATGTACGTGTTACTGCATATCAATGTACATATGTATGTATGTAGGTATGTCTGTATGTAGGTAGGTAGGTACGCATGTATGTATGTAATGCTACGTTACGTTACGTTACGCTTCGTTTCGTTAAGCTATGTAGTGTAATGTAATGTAATGCAATGCAATGTAATGTAATGCAATGCAATGTAATGTAATGAATTGGATTGTAGGGACATGTAATGTAATGTAATATATTGTAATGTAATGTAATGTGAGGTAATGTAATGTAATGTAATGTAATGGAATGTAATGTAGGTCGGCAGGTAGGTAGGTAGGTAGGTCGGCAAGTATGCAGTCATGCACGCATGCATGAACGTACGTACGTGCGGGCGTGCGGGCGTATGTATGTATGTATGCATGGATGTACGCATGTGCTTATGTGTGTATGCATGTAGGTATGTGTGAAAACATTCATGAACGTATGCATGTATGCATGTGTGTATGTGTGTATGTCTGTAGGTATGTATGTATGTACGTACGTACGTACGTGTGTATGCATGTATGTATGCATATATGCATGTTGCATGTATGTATGTATGCACATACGCCTGCATGCATATATATATATATATGTATATATATATATGTTTGTATGCACGTGTGCATGTATCTAGGTATGTATGCTATACATACATGCATGCAT